TGTGTTTACTTGGGGCAAGTTTACTTACTCCAATGTACAATTTTTCCAACAATAAAACATTCCCTTTCCATCATTCCTAGTTACTGTGAGCTATTTTATCCTCTGATGGACTGGACCCATGTTACATAAGAGTAGGTTTGCGATGAGATGTTAAACCAGATCTACTGGGAAGTAAAAGAGAAGAAATAGGTGCTATAACACACAGCACCTGTCATCAGCAGAAACCATCCAATAATGATGTACTCCAGCTTGAAAGAGCTCACAGGGTGAAAATAATGAACTTACAATGGCACATTCGTGTGAGATTTATAAACCTATCATAAGAGCTCTTCAGTCAATTACTGGGTAAATGGTTGCTAGTCTCTTTATGGTACAATCTCTTCTTAAAATAAGGCAATTGAGAAGGCAATGTTGGATTCTTTGAGAGTCAGTGGTCCTAAAAATTATTGAAACTAAACTTATCCACTACTGAATTTATACTTTATTTATAATCACCAAATGTGGGCTTGAGTTAGTGAATAATTTGAATAAAAATGTCTCTGCTTTTTGGCTCACCTGTTGGCTTATGCTGCAAGGGCAGATTTTGAGCTTTCTTATATCTTATATATCTAATTCTCAGTTCAAGACACAAAATATACCAAATACTTTACTGGTGACTAAACTGTGAGGGACTTGGAATGGATCTCAGTTTTATGTCCAAGAGACCGCTTGCTCAAAAATAAAATTAAAGTAAAAAAAAAAATCAAAGAACGTGTTTGTTAAAAACACCAAGAGCTGGAACTGCAAAACCATACATGGAGGGAACCAATACTCAGAGGACGAACAGGAAACGTCCTCTCTCTAGTGGGGATCCTGGCTCACAACTTTCTGTTGTTGTTTTTATGTGGGAGCGAGTATGTACGGAGGCCCAGAAACTACAAAGGACACAAGATAGAAACAAGAGGCCATGAGGAAAAGAGCTGAGGAGAAGAGTAGAGCTCAGGGGGTCTGAGAGTAGAAGCAGAGACAGTGAAGGCGGAGTGGGGGGTGGAGTGTGGCAGGGGGTGGGAGGGGTAACACAGAGGGGAAGAGAAGAGGGTAGGAGATGGTCAACTAAAACAAGTACATATGAAAACACCATATGGAGAACCACTACATTTGTAAGCTAATTTAAACAACAATAAAAAGTTCTCGCTAACAGAGATGCTTCTCTTCTCTTAGCAGACCAAATTTTCTTTTAAATCTTAACAAATGAGAGAAACAGCTTACAGAGTGAATCAGAATAGCTATAAATCACTAAAATTAGTGCTGCACAATGGGCTATGCGCCCCACTTCCCTTTTCAAGTAGACTTTAAGGAGGTTAGTTCTTTGTCATGGTATGATGCAAAGAAAGGAAAATAAAGTGAAGCCTTCAGAATGCTAAATATAATTAGTTAACAGAATGATGGTTTATAAAAACAAGTTAAATATGCTGTCTGTTTTTATAGTAAGAATATACTGCTTTGAAACTTAAGTTACTGGGATGAAACATGTCTATTTAAAGGAATTCCTATTCCTACCTTATTTGTTTGTTTTGGCTGTTTGAGACAGGCTTGATCCATAGCCCAGGCTTGCCTCAGATCTTCTTGTCTTGTGTCCTGAGCATTGGGACTGCGGGGATGAGTCACTATGCCTTAGCTCCTATTACTTTTAACAGCAGTGCGTATCACATCAGCAATGTAGTCTGCTAACTATCAGTTTATCACAACAAAGTGACCGGTAATAGAAGTAGGATGTTTTTAGGGTAGGTAGATAAGGGTATTTTTCTATGACACCATATATTAAAATGATTTTTTTCTTAGGATTAAAGAACAAGGATACTTATAAACTATAAGAAATTATATAAATTATATGGGACTTTAAAAAAATAATACTGTAGAAAATTTAGTTCCTGGTAAATAATGTAAGAACTGTTCAACATGACATTGTAAAGCTGCTACAGATAAACTACTAATATTCCTCTTGGGGTATTTTTTTTTAACCTTGAAAGTAACATCATACTATATGTAACTTGAAAATAACTGAGTTTTGGGCACATAAAAGCCCATTTGCTAAAAATAGTAGAGTTAAAAAAAATATGGCTTTACCGTCAACCCACTTCAAATAATGTACTCATGTTATTACTTCGACATTTAAAATATGAATCAGAAGAGTTTAGTAATGAACCATGAAGATCCAGATCCAACTCATTTGGCTACATTTGTTTTTAATAGTAAGTGTTACATGTTGAAAATGATGCACATTCAACTACAGAAGAACCATCTTGCCACTCAAAGGTAAGGCTTTAAAATGATGCTTACTATAAAATACAAAGTACTTGTGAACTACAGTGGACTAACCAGCAAACTGCAGTCTAAGCACTTGTTTTTATAAATGACATTTTATTCCCCACTCAATGATGAAATACATGGAGCTGCTATCGCAAAATTATGACTAAGACCACATGGTTTGCACAGGCATAGAACATGTGGTATCCTACCCCTACACCCACGGTGTGCATCCTTGTTAGGGTCTCATGTAGCCCAGGCTGGTCTTGAGCTCAATACCCTGCCTCCACTACCCACGTACTGAGATTACAGGTGCCTGGCCTATATTTTTATAGCACTGATATGCAGTACTTACATTTCAAAGAATTTCCTGGTAGGGCAAAAAGGAGAACTTTATTCAACTGAGATAATTACAATTCTAAATGACACATGATTACACAGTCTATTTTTGCTTTGATAAAAACAGGCTGAAGCACAGTGAGCTTGGCCCTTATACTCACTTGATGCTGTGCTATTAGTCACCACCCTCTCTCACGGGTGTCATACACTCACTTTACCAATTCTCTGGTCCTAGCTAACATTCATTTTGAATTTTAAGACCTGCTTAGATTTATTCACATCCTAATTCTTCTTTCTTGCACTATGCTTCTTCCTGAAGCATAGTCAACTTCTACTCCACTTGCTCAGGGGTACCAAGTACCTTTGGGTTTGGAGTATCCTTGTAAAAATCCTATCTAGAATACAGTTGAAAATGTTTTCTTTGACTCTACCCTCTTTGCTTTCTATGTTTTAAGGGTTCACTACCATTTCTTACCTAATGTATAATGAATCTTCTTTGTACAAGCATTGGTTCACATACACCCCACAAAATAAGAAAAAAAAAAGCCAAACAAACCCCGAACCCAAAACCAAAGAAAGCAAGCAAACAAACCAACAACAACAAAAACAAAACTAAACAAAACAAAACCACCCAAAACCAGGAGGCAAGGGCACGTGGTCAGACCTTAGTTTCAAATGGAAGTCTGGTATCTCTCATCTCTGCATTTTTCTAATTTATCAGCTCCACTTTGCATGTCTGTCTATAGATATGGGCATGTTCTATGCTTCACAACTGCTCTGATTTTTAAGTGGTAGAGAGAACATAGGCTGTTAAACCTACATCTTGGGACAGATTTTTGAATCCATTATATTTTGTTAGGCCTTCAGGCAGTTAGGTCTCCTTGAGACAAATGGTCTCTTTATCCATAAAAAGAGATGATGCTTGTGGTATTTGATTTGTGAGTAAATTATTACTTGGCACACAGTTTAGAGTCTAGCAATTTTCTTTGTTTCCATGTCCTATTAGCTGTGACCATACTGAGTGTTTCTAAATTGCTGCTTACTATTTTATCCTTATGCTAACAGTATAATAGTTGCATAAGAAATGAGAAATGTGAATGACTGTGGAAACTAAGGATTCTAGCTTTGGTGGAAGGCAGACTTAGAATTAATATAAATACTGACTGCATCTTTTACATTGGAATAGCCCTGTTTTAGCAATAAAGAATTTCTGATGGAGTACCATTGATTTAAAAAAAAAAAAAAGATTGGCTAAGAAAACTATCAGAAAAAAGAAGTTCTATCTACAATTCAAGAAATGGCTGAGGAAAGAACACACTGAATTTATTATAAAAGAACGAGAACCACACATTTACAGATACCTAGTTACTGCTGGATATGAATCTAAGAGTAGAACTCAGCACCAGTGTCACAAGACCCGCTGTAGAGCTAGCTCTAAGGAGGCAGGGAGAAAGCATTAAGACAAAAGTGTTTATCTTCCCCAGTTCTCCCTCTATTGTATTGAAACTCAAGCAACGGGGGAGGGGTTGGGGGGAGGGCACGGGAGGAGGGGAGGGAAAGGGAGAGGGACCTGGAACTGACTTGTGAAGCAACTTTGTTTCTTATCTAAATTTAAACTGGAAAATAAAAAAAATATATACTTAAAAAAAAAAAGAAACTCAAGCAAAGCAGCGCAAAGCCCACCTTCAGTCTCCATTATGCGGACACAAATACTTTTGTGTCAGGAACCTGACAATCTTTATACATACACACTTATTAGTTTAGTTTCCTTTTCCTTGCCGCTTTCTTTTAGCTGGCCACAATCTAAGATCCCCATGGAAACGAGGCAAGCGCCACTGATCTTCAGTCAGTGGATGGCCATAAAATGCAAGCTATAGGGATTTCTTCCCTTCTAGAATATAACACAGCTAGGATACTGTTAGTAATTGGCTACTCCTAAGGCTGGATCTATCATGTATTAACAAAAATGCAAACAGAAAACTCCTAGACTCATGACTGTCTGAATCATATCAACAAACTAGAGTCCTCATAGTATAACACTTCTCATACTCTTCCTCTCTATTGACTACAGAAAATAAAGTGTAAAACTTCACAGCCCCATTAAAGTGTGCTCTAACACCCTGTATCATCATGATGACATTTTTTATGCCATTAATGCTTGCTTACTTTAGCTGACTTCTTTTACTTAACAAGGTTTTCTTATGAAGGAAAGGCCAAGCACTTCAGCCATCACAGACTGAAGCAGACAGTATGTAGCCAGCAATTATAACTAACACTGTTCTAGATCTCAGTCTCTGCTTCTGCAGTCACACTTAGTTTAAACAGTTCCAAAGTGGAGTTTTAAAGAAATCGATAAAAGTGAACATTGACCTTACCTTTGACAGAAGCAATTTCACACAGGAAACATGACCCTCATAGACAGCAGACAGAAGAGGGGTAATATGATGTTTATCTGGAGCCTACAGACATCAAAGAGATAATTTTATCTACCTTTTTTTTAAAACCTTTTTCCTATATCTAATTAGGGAATTCTTATGACTGTTTCAAAATTAATACCCATTTTCCTTTCTGTATAAAAATTAACCCAGAGAGAAGTTTCTAGTTACTTAAAAATGATCAAGGAGCACAAGCACATAAGTAGTTGTCTTTTCATCGAGAATCAGTGCGGAGAGGAAATCTCACCTAAGCTTGAATCTTTTTCTGCCCATGGTGTGACTAGTTTCTCTGAACCTAGCTTTCCTCCTATTGTAGAGATGCCAGCGTGCTTCAGAAGGGAGGGAGGGGTAAAATACAAGTGGGGAAGTAAGAGAAGACAGTCAAATTGGGACAAGTGACATGGCGAAAAGCTATCTCTTTCACTATTATGATCACCCAAACAGTTCCTAAAATCCTGAGATGACAGAGGGCTCAAGTCAGGAGAGACAAGGCCTGCCTGATGACTTTCTCAGTTATCCCATGGTCCAGGCTAGTGTAGCCTATCCCTTCAGGGACCTATGCTCCATTACGTGAAAGACAGCATCTACTACCCACAGCAGTAACTTGCCAAGCTTTAAAATTTGAAAAGCAACAGCCAGAGGGGGGAGATAGCAAACCGTTCATTAACTTACAAAAGAATGGTTTGTATAGGACTATATTATTTAAAGTAGCTATTTCGTAAACCTACAGCAAAAAATTCCTCAACACATATGACAGATTTTCCTAGAATGACATATATTATACATATACCATTAAGTATTAATACATACATTAATATCTGCTCCTTTCAGCAGCAGAAATTCCAAGATTTCAAGCTGTCCGCAATCTGCTGCATAATGAAGAGGCTTCCTTCCACCTTCTAGTGTCCGGTTGACATCTTCTCCCTTGTCAGAGTAGTCAAATAAAAACAATGTTTATATGGGTAAGAGACTGAACAGGGAAACAAAATGACATATCTGATTTTTTTTTAGCTTCTTTAAAACTTCAAATAGTTTTCACAAAATTTTATTTTTTGCAAAGTAAAATGAAAATGTAAAGGAGTCACATCCTGCATAATAACATATGGTGTTCAAGTCATGATTAGGCAAGCTGAGAACAATATGTAACAATGCTAAATGCAAAGAGATATGTCATCCTGTTCTGTTACTGCAAATGAGTTCAGTCAGCATACTGTTGATGTGTAACCACAGAAGAGTGCTAAGTTCAAGTCCTGAGATTTTATATTTTCTATGACATGTACCATTATCAGAAATAATACTTGTGATCATTTAATTCTTTCAGTATTTACTAAAGGGGTGTGGTAAGGCCAGCACACCACCAGGCATCAGGAAGATGAAAGTGAACAAAACCGGCATGGTTTCCAATGCATGTAACTTACCCCCAAGTGTATGGAGGTGACCTAATTTGAAAATATTATATTACTGTTCTATAAGCAAAAACAGTAACTCATTATCACATGTTACCAGAAGACTATGACTTAACCTTCAAAACAGGGATGTAGTGTTGCAATACTATCTAGTGATCAACACTGTATTTTTGGTACCATGCTATATATATAATTTCTAATCTTCAAGCTACCCTAGGACAAGGGCCTTATACATCAAACAGAAAGCTAAAAGAGAATAACTTTTCTTTTTCTATGATGCCATGATGCTTCTAATTCAAATTTGATTCTTTTTTAAAGGAGCTCAGATTTTACAGAGTTGCAAAATGTCTAAGTTTATTTTCTCAGTAACTATATTATTCACTTAGTCAGTTCACCAAACCCTGGATAAAGATGCCAAAGCCACAGCCATTACCAGCTGTGCTTTCAAGCTCCTCAATTCCCCACCCTTGTCATTTAGACCAAGTCCTTTCTTTCCTTCTCACTAACGCATGTACTGTAGATTCCCAAGTCCATGCAAGTTCAAGATTTCTCTTTTCCACATCATCTTTATGGTTATGGTAAGCTTCCCTCCCTCAAAATCACAGCAATCATTTAGGTATAAAATACTTTTGCCACTTGTATATGCTTTCTTTCTCAATAGGATACAAATTCCTGGAGCAGAAATGTTGTTTTTCTTCTTTACCTCTTCCTACAGTATGATGTATGGGTTAAGAATACATGCTTCCTAGCCACTAAACATTAGGCTTTAAGAATCACACCCTCTGAGAGGTTAGGAACCCCCCCTGGTTATTGAAATCTTATTATCTGCTTACTTTCTATTTTCTGTGAAGAGAGGGGTATTTAACCGTGAAAAGGGAGCTCTGTGCAGAACCTTCAGACTTCTAGTCAGACAAGTGCCAATACCTACCACATGGGCACCAATAAGCTTGTGGGCCTTAACTGGTGGCTGTACCCTAATCGTTACAGCTACCTACTTGCCCTCCCAGGTAAAGGTTCTTTTTCGGTTATTATGTCAGTGTACAACTTCTCTGCTTTCTCACCTCCTAGACCAGGAAAGACTTTTCTGCCCACATGGCTGTGAAAACAGTTCTTGAAAGGCAAAGTGCTACAAAGGGCCATCTACTTAATATCTGACAATAAACTGGTTCAATAAAAGCAGATTTAACACAACACTAAATAAAATAGAAAAAATACTTTCAAAGTAAAAATGTTGTTCAAAATGTATTTGTTATTATGAATTATACTTATAAAAGTAGGTAAATGTTAGGAAAGATGAAATTTGGTACCAGAAAAAGACCTACTATCCAATTTGGTTTAACTAAACAAATATTTACTGTAAGTTAGGCATAGCTTTACTTACTTGAGATGAAACAGGAAGTCCTGACTGAATCAAAGAATTAGCTGCCTTTTGGGGAAAGCAAAAATGTATATAACGAGTGCTATTTAGCTTTGTGTCCTAGGAACAGCAAAATTACAGGAATTTAACCAAGAGAATGAGTGATCAAAAACTTCCCTCACTGGCAGTTTTCCTTTTACTGTGAATTAACTTTTCAGGTGTCTGTCTCATCTTGTTAGATTTTAAAGGCTCACAGGGGTCAGAGACTACGACTTTTACTTCCATCCCTTGACTATTACTTTCAACCTCAACCAGAGTTTATTGTGATTCTGCTTATGATAGCATACATTCTAGGCATATTTCACTACAAAACTGTTATGATAAAGGAGAACTCAAAGTAAAAAGCAGAAACATTAATTCTGTATTTTAAACATGTTTAAGTTAGTTGTGTGTCTTTACGTGGACAATAGCAAGGAAACCGATGGAAATAGCACCGACGAGAAGCACGTAACCTCGGCGCTCTGCAGGCAAAGGCACAACAGGCGCGGTTAAAGACAGCAACATTTACCAGGTTTAGTCTCCCAGCCTTTTTCTATTTTCCTAGCTGGTCTTAATGTGGAATTGAAACATGCCTAGAAATCTGTGTGTGTATGTGTGCAGGCGTGTATGTGTAAAAACTATTCTAATACAAATGAACATTGTACAGTTTAAGGACACTCAAATCTTGTGTGGCATGCATTTAAGAGCCATAGATTCCTCCTTTAACTCCCAGATCTTTTATATGGATCTAAACTATACTAGGTTAGGTTCATGTGAATAACAGAAACAGACAGAAAAATACTTTAAATGGACCCCTGACTTCTGCTGACAATTTTCTTTAGGCCTTTCTTCAGATGAAAAGAAACAATTCTCTTCCTTTGATTTCCAAATGTGCACACTTTGTGAAACCAAGATCTAAGGCACGAGTTCATATTGTACTGTCACAAGAGACTAACGTCCCTCAAAGCTACTAAAAAGCAGGCTATGTGTGACAACTTTGTAGGACAGCATGTAAATTAACACTGGACACCTGGCTGAGTAGAAAGCAAACAGCAAATATGCTACATTTACCAAATTCTACAGCTGAGCTAGTGTTTCTAGTCATTCAGTCAGTGTTAAGTATCTCCTGCCCTATTTGTAAATCTTTAAGTTCTTTGTAGCCTGCATTTGCTTTACTGTGGTCACATTTACCTGTAAACACATCTTCATTTTTGTGGACTTTCAGTTACTTTACATTAGTCATTGCATCAAGTGCACACTTGTTTGTCTGCCATATGTTTGCATTCTCCTGTTAAAAGAACTCTAAGTTCTTCCAGCGACATTAGAGTGTAGAGCAGTTCCAGAGTTATGAGTCACAGCGGAGCAGCGGGCTCAAGTCTACCTTTGAAGGTAATGCAATCCAAAGAGGTGAGAAAAGCTTTGGCACTTTATCTGGAACTTTCTAATACAGAAAAACTGACAAAAGAAAGCAAAAAGGTCTCATATATCTCTGACTTTTTCTGTTTTCTAAAAAAGTTAATTGGTAAATAAATAAAATACAAATCTTCAGTGTTATTAATATAAAGTTTAATAACAAAGTTCATTTAAAGTAATGAATAGTAACTCCCACAACTTATAACTTACTTAATAGGCACCTGCTCAATTAATATATAATAATGTCGCCTCTTAAAATACTTCAAATATTTTGAAGACTAGTTTCCTACTAGTTAAAATCATGACCACAGCGATTACTGTCTACAGTTGAACAGACAGCTTCCTAATTGGGAAATAGCTCACTGACAAACTACTTCCATAGTGAGCAGTGATGGCTATGGATCTTTCAAGAAAGATCTTACAGGAAAGATTTACATAAAAAATTGCTACCATTCACAATAACAAATAAAACAAGACATCACATTTAAGAATGAAGATTACAAAATTTGGTGAGCACGTACTTCTGGGGTCCTTATCCTAAGACCATTTAGGTTTTGGAAGGATGCATACGTATGTTACAGGTTTTTGTTATTTATAGATCAGTATCAATGGAGTAAAAAATAAAATGTTCCACAAAAAAATTTTGAAGTATAAAGAAATGGCAATACTTAGCCATGGTCAAGTACTTTAAGGCAATAAAGTTCTAAATATTTGCTTTTGTGACCTCCAATAAAAAGGGTTTGAAAAACCCATGAAGTTAAAATCCTTATTGTATTCCCCTACTTATGCATTTACTTCAACTTAGCAATTTTTTAATTGAAAATAACCAGTTAAATGATTCAAATTATGGGACATCCTTAAATTTTCATATAGCAAGTTTTGTGTGCTAAATGACCCCTTAATTTTTCTCCTAAGGTCTAAAAGCAGTTAGTCAAATATACATTTTGTAACTAAAATAGTAACTTGTTTTTAAAGAAAAGTTTTACTTGTGGTATAAAACTAAAAGTTTAGTAGCCAAAGCCATGTATATAATACAAAGAAACCCTTTCCAAATTAAGAAGCACATTCAAAATACTACGGTTCTAGTTCAGTTTGAAAAAAAAAAGATCAAAATGTAACTTATCCATAGCTGGAATTCTTTCCTTTTATTTACTTATTTATTTTTTGCACCCTGGAAAGTATCTGCTATTTAATCCAATGGATTACAGATCTAAAAGCTACATTTGTCAATAAACCCATAGCAAGAGGGAAACAAGGAAGAAGGCTATATTCCCCCACCTGCCAATCATTTATAGTTCTCAAACATTCAATGCATAATGATGGGAAAGGAGCAGGGATGTTCTTTTTGGAGTGACTCAGACCTGAGCTGAAATCCTGTCCTCCTGGGACTTAGCTATGAGCACTGGGGAAAGTTACTCAGTTCCCACTTCCCTGTCTGTAAGACGAAGGTAAAGCTTACCTGTGTAGTTAAATGTGTGTATCTATATGTATATATTGCTGTGTTGACCATATACATACAACACAGTCCTCAAAGAAAGCTCATTCTTTTCTCATTACTGGAATTCTGATTTGAATCTGGTATTTTAAAATGTTGATTTTTCTTACTATTGGAGCCAACTATAAATCTATCATGGACTTAGAACATCTCTTTTTTTCTAGAGTTGTACTTCAACAAAATGTAAAGCTGCTGAGTTTTATCCATATTTCAT